CCACTCACCTCGGCCTCCCAAAGGTGCGGGATTACAGGCTGAGCCACCGAGCCCGGCTTCTGGGATCAATCTTAAGGAAAGAAAAAAACAACCTTCTTCTGACACTGATGGAGATGTATCGCCTTTAAAATGCATCACTCAATTTTCTCATTAACTTCCATTCAGTACTAAAAGGCAGCAAATCAAGACATTTCTAAAGATATTCTTCCTGCCAAAAAGACTTTTTCAAGCCCCTCAAGTGCCAAAAGAAATGTTATCTTACTTCATTTTAACTTCAAAGCAAAGTTAATATTTCTCACCAAACCAACAACATTCACCCTCACTATGATTTTAAGACTTAAAAGTTGGTTTTAAGCTTTCATTAACCGTGCAAACTAAAAGGTATGTGGGTATGGTAGTAGAATTTGATTACACTATTAGGTGAAATTATTATTCTGTTCAGTTGACCTCAAACATTTAACAATATTCATTTATTCCATGAACATTTATTAAGCACTTGGGCACAAGGCAAAAAAGATACAAAACTGGACAACAGCCTGCATTTTAGGACAATTTTCTAAAATCATATTTTGTGTATCCAATTACTGACACTCAGTTCTTCCTACAACATCTACAGAAGAAAACATTTATCCAAACTAAATGAAGGAGTGGCTCTCAGCAAAATAGAATAAAAACATCATCACCAGATTCCAGCACCTGGAACACACACACAGGCCCACAAAATCAAGTTTCACATCTAAAAATTGTACCAACTCCAAACTCGCAAAGTGCAATCATCAAAACATTTGACATGTCAATGAAAGTGACAGAAGCCTCAAGTATACTGGTATGTAGCAATATATTCAAAATAACTACCGCAATGGTCTCCAAAGCTTCGCATTTTTCACCTAACATGTGAACATTAAGAAAGATTTAAATTATACATTACAATCTATAAACAAAGTAATCAACATCGTACCGAGCATATGAAAGTGATATAAAAATGCATTCCGTTTCATTAAAAAACTGCCCAATAATACATACTAAGTACAGCTTCATTTACTTTTACATAAACACTCCAAACATTTCATTTTCTTCATAAATTACTGTAGTTATTTGAACCACCTGTAACAGTTCTTCCCAACTTCTTTTTAATATTCTTGGAAAATACTTGAACGTAATTACTTTCCACTCAATACAGACATCCTCCATTCTATAAAAACTACCGAATTTCAGAAACAAGTACAACCAGTCTTGTATAGCAGTTCTACAGTTTAAAAACAAGATTTCTCTACATGTCCAGACTTGAGGCATTTTTTTCAACTGCAGATGCTCACAAATGTATTAACAATATACACTAGTCAACAAGGCCCCAAGCAATTCTTGTTGTAAGACTCAATTTTTTAAAAATTACACCATTTCAAACCATTCAAGAAAGAAGCTCTACGAGAAGTACTCTAGTCACAAACCTCCCTTCGACGACCTTCAGCTCCACATTTTTTTCCAGCAGGTTGTATTGACTAGCACCTCTCTAAATCCTTCGAGAAATACTTCAAAACGGTCCCCGCCAAACTCCCCAATTTACATGAGGCCATCTTGGGAACCTGGGAGGCTTACTGGAGCCCCTCGGGATTTTCCCGGGTAAGCACACACGAAGTCCATCCACACACAGCCTAGCAGCAGAGCCTGCTACCCTGGTGTCCATCCTCTCCCTAACCTGTAGATCCTCAAAGGCCCTCCCACCCACTTCACGAGGCTGCAAACCAGCGCCACCAACCTTCGGAGAAGCAGCTCAACTTCATCAACAGCACCCAGCCCTTACCTCCCACTGGACCTCGTCCTCCTTCCGTGAGGAGACTAACAAGGGCCATAAAGGTGCTGCTCACAGCAGCCCTTTCCTGCTCGGGGATCAATGGCCTGGCGCCCACTAAAATTCTCAGGGCCTCAGAGACGACCCTCCCACGTCCTCGCTCGAGGCCAGCTTAGCGACTCCCGGTTCCTCGGCAGTGAGCCCCACCCGACAGAAGGTCGTGGAGGCGCTTCACTGCAGCCCTCCGCCTCCCCACGAAGAGGCCGGCCCTGAGGCTGACCTCCTCGACCCCAGTCGTGTCCCGACTGCAGTCCCTCGCTGGTAGGCCAGAGGAGCCTCCCTTCCACTTCGGGTGGGGGCGGAGTATGCGATCACCTTCCCACAGGAAGGCACAGAAGTGCAATTACGACCTCCACCCACGTGGGGGTGAAGGAAGTCCGCATTCGGGGTGTGGGTGTGTTTCCACTGCAGTTGCCGCGAGTTCGCAGGCCGCGGGGCCACCTCGGCACCCTCCCTCTCTCTGACCACGGGGCGTACTCGCTATGCCCTCGAACCCACTTCGGTACGCCGGCTCATCCGTTCCTGCGTCCTTCTCGCATGCTCTCAGGTCTCAGGGGCATCTTAAGTGGCACCTTAGGCCCCCACGGCCCTGCCCCGACCCTTTGTGTAAGGCGCTCGCTGCGGCGGGCTCGGAGGCCCCGAAGGCCCCGCCCCGGGCCACCAAGGGGCGGCTCGAGCCCCGCACAGCCCCGCCCGTTCCGGGGCTGCGGGAGTCTTACCCGGGAGAGCTGTGCGGCAACAGAACCCAGACCCGCGTTACCCCCCGCGCGAGTGCCTCCGCCCCGCGGCCGACAGCCCCAGCCCGAACGGCTTCCCGGAGACCACCGCAGCCACCACCTCCTTCGTTGCTTCACAAAATGGCCGCCAGCCCGCTCAGCGACTCCGCGTTCCAGGAGGGGGCGGGGCGGACGGGTGGACGTCACGGGACGCGCAAGCGCACAGAGGCTCTAGGGCGACTTCCCGGAAGTTGCCGGTATCAGTGAGGAGTGAGCTTTTCATCCCATGCTTGAAACATTTCCTCCCGCCACCGCCCCCAGCCTGAAGACATTTTAGGGAGATTAAATGGACCACTAGCGTGCATGCTAGTTCTATGGACAACATCCTGGCAAGAGTCAAAATCTGATTTTTTTTCCCCATTAAAAAACTTCCGGGCGGGGCGCGGTGGCTCAGCCTGTAATCCCAGCATTTTGGGAGGCCGAGACGAGAGGACTGCCTGAGCCAAAAAAGGTTCGAGACCAGCCTGGGCAACTTGGTGAGCCCGCATCTCTACAACAAATCACAAAAACTAGCGGGCGTGGTGGCGTGCGTCTGTAGTGCCAGCTGTTTGGAAGGCTAAGGCGGAAGGATCATCTGAGCCCAGCAGGTCAAGGCAGCGTGCCACTGCACTCCAGCCTGGGCAACAAAGTGAGACTCCGACTCAAAAAAAACACAACCTACTAAATGCAATGTAGCATCTAGGGTTGGATCCTGGAACAGAAAAAGGACATTAGGAAAAAAGCTGGTGAAAGCTGAATATAATCTAAAGTTTAATGAGTAGCAACATACCAATATTAATGTATAAATTTTGACAAATGTACTGTAGTTTTGTAAGATTTTTAAATTAGAGGAAATTGGTGATGGATATATCTAACTCTGTGCTATCTTTGCAACTTTTCAGTAAATCTAAAATTCAAAATAAAAAAGGCATATTTTAAAAAATGGCCAGGTCTGGTGCTTCATGCCTATAATCCCAACACTCTGTGAAGGGGGGAATGCTTGAGGCCAGAAGTTCAAGACCAGCCTGAACAAAAGAGCAAGACCCTGTCTCTACATAAAATTTGAAAATTAGCTGGGCATGGTGGTGCATGCCTATAGTCCTAGTTACTCAGAACACTAAGGCAGGAGGATCACTTGAGCCCAGGAGTTTGAGGTCATAGTGAGCTAGGATTGTACCGCTGCATTCCAGCCTTCCTGGGAGACAGAGGAATACCCTGTCTCTTTAAAAAAAAAAAAGCCGGGCTCGGTGGCTCAGCCTGTAATCCCGCGCCTTTGGGAGGCTGAGGTGAGTGGATTGCCA